TCAGTAATTTCCCATTCTCTTCTCTTCTCCCTTCCTCTTAATGCCCTTTTCTCTACTCTGTTGGTCTCCCTCCTGTTTTTGTGAGATTCCCTCCCTTTTGAAAATCTCCCTCACCCCAATTTCTGTATATGAGAGAAAAATTCAACCCTGGGTGTCCTGAGTCTAGCTTATTTCACTTAGCATGATGTTCTCTGGTTCCAGCCATTTACTAGCAAGGGCTTTAATTTTGTTCTTCTATGGCTCAGTAAAACTCCATTGTTTATGTGGACCATAGTTTCTAGCAGTGTCTTTTTTCAGGTTCAGAATCCAGTCCAGCACCCCACCCAGCACTCGTCTTTCTTCTTGTTCTAATCTAATCTGGATGAGTCCATTTTTTATAACCATCATAATATTGAAGAGTCCTGGCCAACAGTTTTGTAGAATGTCTCTCTCTTTGGGTTTGTCTGATGTTTTATGGTAAGAATTGGCTTATGCTTTTGGGCAGGAATACCCCGGAACACACATCACCTCCAAACACAATGATGTTGTGATGTTGTGCTTCTCAGCATATCGTTAGTGGGTATGTGACATCTGTGTCTCATAGCTGATCTAACTTTTGGTCACTTAGTTAAGGTGGTGTCTCCCAATTCTTTTTCACTTTAAAGTTATTATTTTCCCAATTGGAATTAGTAGGTATCTTGAGGGGAGATACTTTAAGATTTTGCAAATATCTTATTTCTCATAATACTTTTCCCCCAAACTTTATGCTATCTGAATGATTCTTTTTTTAAAAAAATATTTTTTAGTTGTTGATGGACCTTTATTTTGTTTATTTGTATGTGGTGCTGAGAATCGAACTCAGTGCCTCACACATGCTAGGCAAGTGCTTTACCATTGAGCCACAACCTCAGCCCCTGAATGATTCTTTTCTACACTAGTTATTACTTGATGTTTGCCCAAATGCTGATTTAATTTATTTCTATCATTTCTTTCATATTATTAGAATCTACTGTAAGAAATAACTATTAATATAATAACCATTTATTCAGTTATTATATCAATATGTACTCATGCATTTTTACTTTATTCAGTGGATTATAATGCATTATTATAATTATTTTATTGTTCAAATAATTCCAAATCCATATATATGTGTATATATATATTTTTTTAGTTTTTATTCTAATTTGTTATATATGACAGCAGAATGCATTACAATTCATATAGAGCACAATTTTTCATATTTCTGGTTATATACAAGATATATTCACACCATTCATGTCTTCATATATGTACTTAGGGTAATGATGTCCATCTCATTCCAACATATTTTTTTACCCCCGTGTTCCCTCCCTTCCCCTCCCACCCCTTTGCCCTACCTAGTGTTCACCTAATCCTTCCATGTTCCCTATCCCAACCCCATTATGAATCAACCTCCTTATATCAGAGAAAACCTTTGTTTTTTGGGGATTGGCAAACTTCATGTAACATTATATTCTCCAATTCCATCCATTTACCTGAAAATGCCATGATTTTATTCTCTTTTATTGCTGAGTAAAACAGTCCACTGTGTATATATACCACATTTTCTTTATCCTTTCATGTTCTGAAGGGCATCTAGGTTGGTTCCACAGTTTAGCTGTTGTGAATTGTGCTGCTATAAACATTGATATGGCTGTGTCCCTGTAGTATGCTGTTTTTAAGTCCTTTGGGTATAGACCAAGGAGTGGGATAGCGGGGTCAAATAGTGGTTTCATTCCTAGTTTTCCAAGGACTCTCCATACTGCTTTCCATATTGGCTGCACCAGTTTGCAGTCCCACATCCTCACCAACACTTATTGTAGTTTGTATTCTTAATAGCTGCCATTCTGACTGAAGTGAGATAAAATCTTAGATAGTTTTGGTTTGCATTTCTATAATTGCTAGAGATGTTGAACATTTTTTCATATATTTGTTGATTGATTGTATATCATCTTCTGAGAGGTGCCTGTTCAGTTCCTTGGCCCATTTATTGATTGGGCTATTTGTCTTTTTGGTGGTTAGCTTTTTTAGTCCTTTGTATACCCTACAGATTAGTGCTGTATCTGATGTGGGAGTGGTAAAAATTTGCTCCCAAGATGTAGACTCTCATCCCAGTGTGAGACCACATCTCAAGACGTGGTCCTGGGGATTGAATTCAGGGCCTTGCACATGCTAGGCAAGCACTCCATCATTGAGCTATATCCCAGTTCTTTTATATTTTTTGAGAGAGAATCTTAACTAAGTTGACCAGACTGGCCATGACCTTGTGATCTTCCTGACCTTCCTCCTGAGTTGTGGGATTTCCAGGTGTGTGACACCATGCCAGTCTCCCCATTGATTTTATTTTTATCTTTTTAAATATTTTTTTAGTTGTAGATGGACACAAAACCTTTATTTATTTGTTTTTATGTGGTACTGAGGATTGAACCCAGAGCCTTGCACATGATAGGCAAGCCACAACCCCAGCCCCTCCCCATTGTTTTTTTTAATATTTATTTTTTTTTAATTATAGGCAGACACAATATCTTTATTTTATTTTCTGTGATGCTGAGGATAGAACCCAGTGCCCCATGCATGCTAGGTGAGTGTTCTACCTCTAAGCCACAACCCCAGCCCTCCCCATTGTTTTTTAAAAAGCATTTTATTACTCTTGGCTATCACAGATATGCCAAGCTCATTGTACTCCAACCCTAGGACCAATTTTTCCAAAGAGCCTTTCTCTTTTTTTTGGAGATTGATATTGAGGAACAAAATCTGGGTGCTGGGTGTGCTTATTGCTACTGGCATGCCATTGCTTCTGGGCCCCACAGCTGACAGAGCTGAGAAGTGTGTGTGTGTGTGTGTGTGTGTGTGTGTGTGTGTGTGTGTGAATATGCATACCTTTGAGAAGCCTTTCTCTCTCTCAATCTGTGAATATTTATTTACCTATTAAAGCATGTTTATCCTGATAACTTTCTCCACCACTAGTTTCCTTCTCAATTTCTCCCTTCCTTATTTTCAGCTCCTTTCTCCAACAATGAGAAACATTGCTTTCATAATCTCTATGAAAAACAAATTCACCAGCTAGATTATATAGTGTTTTGAGCATGTTGTCTTTTTTTTTTTAATTTTTAAAAAAATTTATTTATTTATTTATTTATTTATTTATTTATTTATTTATTTGGTACCAGGAATTGAACCCAGGGGTACTTTACCACTGAGCCACATGCCACAACTCCAACCCTTTTCATATTTTATTTAGACACAGGGTCTCACTGAGTTGCTTAGGGTCTTGCAAAATTGCTGAGGCTGGTTCTGAACTTGCAAACCTCTTACCTCAGTCTCCTGAGCTATGGGGATTACAGGTGTGCAGCACTGCCCTCAGTGTCCATGTTGTCTTTAACCTCACAGTTTATAGTAAAAATATTGTTTTCTAAAATGCTAAACTTTGGGCTGGGGATGTGGCTCAAGCGGTAGCGCGCTCGCCTGGCATGCGTGTGGCCCGGGTTCGATCCTCAGCACCACATACCAACAAAGATGTTGTGTCCCCTGAAAACTAAAAAATAAATATTAAAAAAATT